ATCTCTTCTTAGTTATATACTTAATTAATTAGCAGGATACTAAAAAATGTCTTCCATGTAAACTTCAGTATGCTAAGTATTACAGGAATATAAAATTGAAATGGTATTCTTACCTGGAAGAGGATAACTAAAGTCTAATATAACAAATTCTTTATATTACTTAAGCATCATGTTTCTTCTCTGATGTTTTCTATCTGAGTGGAACATCTTCCACGCCCCTTGCAGGTCAGGTGCTGATGTATAAGCTGCAGCAAGTTACCCAAAAAAAATGTACCTAAAATTTGGTAAAGTTGGCTGTACAAATAGATTTTCAGTATAGACAAAACAGCTTTATACAGTTTTTGAAGAAGATGCCATGTAGGTAGGACTTTCACTACTAAAGAGGAGAAAGTCAATGCCTGTCTTCACAGGTGCAAAAGATAGGTTGACTCTCTTTTAGGGGCTAATGCAGCTGGTGAAGGTAAGTTGAAGCCAGTGCTCATTAACCATTCTAAAAATCCTAGGGCCATTAATAATTTTGTTAAATGTACTCTGCCTGTACTCTTCAGATGGAACAGCAAAGACTGGATGACATGCTGTTTACAGCATAATTTACTGAACATTTTAAGCCCAATATTGAGACCTACTGCTTTGAAATGGAGACTCTTTTCAAAATATTCCTGCTCATTGACAGTGCACCTGTCACCTAATGGTGGAGATGTACAGGGAGATGATTATAATTTTATGTTTGATAACACTTTTATTCTATAACCCAAGGAAGGAGTAATTTCAAATTTCAAGTCTTATTTAAGAAATACATTTTATAAGGTTATAACCGCCATAGATAGTGATTCCTATGATGGATCTGGACAAAGTACATTGAAAACCTTCTGGAAAGGATTTACCATTCTAGATGCCATTAAGAACATCTGTGACTCATGAAAGAAGGTGAAAATGTCAATACTAATAGAAATTTGGAAAAAGTTGATTTTAATCATTGTAGATCACTTTGACAGGCTCAAGACTTCAGTGGAAGAAGTAACTATAGATGTGGTAGAAATAGCAAGAGAACTAGGACTAGCAGTCGAGCCTGGAGATGTGACTGAATTGCCACAATCTCTTGATAAAACTTGAACATATAAGAAGTTGCTTCTTTTGTTTTTGTTTTTGTTTTTGAGACAAAGTTTCGCTGTTGTTACCCATACTAGAGTGCAATGGCATGATCTCCGCTCACTGCAACCTCCGCCTTCTGGGTTCAAGCAATTCTCCTACCTCATCCTCCCGAGTAGCTAGGACTACAGGCATGCACCACCATGCCCAGCTAATTTTTTTGTATTTTTAGTAGAGACGGGGTTTCATCTTGTTGACCAGGATGGTCTCAATCTCTTGACCTCATGATCCACCCACCTCGGCCTCCCAAAGTGCTGGGGTTACAGGCTGAGCCACCGCGCCCGGCCAATTTTTGTTTTTGAGATGAAGTCTTGCTCTGTTGCCCAGGCTGGAGTGCCTTGGCCCAATCTCTCTGCTGACTGCAACCTCTGTCTCCTGGGTTCAAGTGATTCTCCTGCCTCAGCCTTCCAAGTAGCTGGGATTACAAGCACCTACCAACATGCCCATATAATTTTTGTATTTTTAGTAGAGACGGAGTTTCATCATATTGGCCAGGCTGGTCTCAAACTGCTGACCTTGTGGTCTGCCTGCCTCAGCCCCCCAAAGTGCTGGGATTACAGGCATGAGCCACTGCGCCCAGCATGAGAAGTTGCTTCTTATGGATGAATGAAAAAATTATTTTCATGAGATGAAATTTATGCCTGATGAAGATGCTGTAAACATTGTTGAAATGACAGCAATGGATTTAGAATATTACATAAACTTATCTAAGAAAGCAGTGGCAAGAGAGGATTGACTCAAATTTTGAAAGATGTCAATTGTGGTTAAAATGCTGTCAAACAGCATTGCATGCTGTGGAGAAAACGTTTGTGTAGAGTCATTTGATGCATCAAACTTCATTTTTGTCTTACTTTAAGAAATTGCCACAGCCACCTCAACCTTCAGCAGTCACCACCCTAATCAGTAAGCAATCATCAACATTGAAGCAAGACCCTTCACCATCAAAAATATTACGACTTACTAAAGGCACAGATGATCTTTAGCATGTTTTAGCAATCAAGTAATTTTTATGTAAGGTATATACATTGTTTGTTTCAGACATAATGCTGTTGCATACATAATAGACTGCAGTATAGAATAAACAACCTCTATATGTACTGGGAAACCAAAAAAATTTGTGCAACTACTTTATCCACAAAAAATTTAAACACTTAGTTTCAATTTATCATTCAAAAAGCCACAAAACTAGCTACTAGATTGGTTTTTGAATAATCTCTTTTCTCAGTACTCTTTAATGATAGTCTCTAAATTATCTTTCTTTTCAAGACACTGAGAAAAGTTGCTGATATACAGATTTTAATATATTATACTTTTCTTTGTTATCCAACTTCCCATTAATTAGTCCTTTACTATGTGTATAGTAGAGAAAAAATTGCTAATTGGCACTAACAGAGGTTAGGCTCTTACGCTTTCAGATACTGGGAGACAGAGCACTGTCTTTCTTGATGATTACATTACAAATAGATGATTTCAAATGATTTAAGACATTCTCAAGTCATAAATCTGGCAAGAAGCTGGGAGAAGATTTAAATATCAAAAGGCAGAGAAAGTAAGTTTTCTAAAGCAAATGCTGTCCATTCAAGCTGAGGGGCTTGTGTGGGTCAGTTGTTTTCACTGTTTCATATCACAGGCAATGTCCTTTACTGTGTTTTGCAAATTTTGTTTTCATAAGGAGCAAAGAATTGCAGAATGGAGAAATCCATAAAAACATATGACCTCCCATAGAATTACCCTGGGTTAGTAACATCAGTTAACTATTAAGAAGGTAATAGATTATCAGTAGCCTTCTGTGGAAAGTTTTGATAGAAAAGATTTATATTATTTCATAACCATGGACAAATAATTTTAGCTCTTTGAGTATTAATCTCTTCTAAATTCATAAAATGAAGATAATAATAGCTTCTCTATCAAATTTACTTGCCTCATGAGGATGAAAAAATACATGGAAATGTTTGGTCATTAGGTTTCAAAGGCTATATAAACACCCTTTACTGTCAATATGAGACCCAGAAATACTCATGTCTCACCACAATGTAAGATTATTTTTTCTCACGTAATAGTCACAGTTCAGTGGTCCTAGGACAGGATGGTACAGTTCTCAACCTTTGGCTTCTATCCCTGAGTCTAAGGCAGCTGGTTCAATTTGGTCATCACTATGCAAGGAAGAGGGAAATGGGCAGGAGAATTTAGACACATTTCTGGATCTGAACTAAAATAAACACACATCATTTGTGCTCATCTATCATTGGCCAGAACTTAGTCAATAGCCCCTCAAGCTGTAAACGAGAATGGGAAATGGAGGGTCTATGCAGATAGTTATATGCCCATCTGACACTCAGGAGTTCTGTTATTAAAGAAGATAAAGTGAATAGGGGTAAACATCTGCAGAATCCACCCCAGCAATAAATGGAATGATCAGGACAACAGCAACTTTGTGAAAGGGACAACTTGGATAGCACCAAATAATTCAAGGCAATGCAATGGGTTATTGAAGTAGCAAAATCTAGTCAAATTGATAGCCAGTTCATTTTTAGGAAACAAAGCCTTCCTACTTTCTCTTCAGGCTTTTTATAACAAAGTCTTGGCCAGGAGCAGTGGCTCACGCCTGTAATCCCAACACTTTGAGAGTCTGAGGTGGGAGGATCACAAGGTGAGGTGTTTGAGACCAGCCTGACCAATATGGTCAAACGCTGTCTCTACTAAAAATACAAAAATTAGCTGGGCGTGGTGGCGTGCACCTGAAGTTGCAACTACTCAGAAGGCTGAGGCAGAAGAATCACTTGAACCCTGGAGGTGAAAGTTGCAGTGGAAGCCGAGATTGTACCACTGCACTCCAGCTGGGCAACAGAGTGAAACTCCATCTCAAAAAAAAAAAGTCTTTAAATGTCTGATATATAAAATTCTATTGATGGTGTCCAAACAGTGCTTACAAAATGCTCTTGCATTGAAAACCTATGTAGCCAATGAACTATTATTCTAACACTAAATATGTTTAATGGGTAACCACATTTGGTACCTGGTTTGTGAACCTTGGAGCATCATTTCTCCCAGGATATTGCTGAGTTTTCAGAAAGCTCTCTATGTTATGTTTTAATTCTTGCAAATTGCTTGCCAATTTAATACGAGCTGCATCTAAACAGTAAGCAATTGCTTATGATAATGAGTGCAAACTAATTTGCTAGAATATGTTAATATTCACAAAGCACTTTTATACTGCCTGCTGTTTCAAAAATACTGCTCTCTTGGTTAAATGTAGCTTTTACACAGCATTACTGTTACACATCTGACTAAAATTATCATTTCAGTAGCATCTACCCAAATGTCATATGACTTTGACTTCAGTATTCCAAAGAAGGAAGAGAAAGTAATGTCATTCTTTGATAAATTATCTAGAAGATTTCAGAGCAAAAGGAATGACTCTTAATAATTAATTTTAATTAGTGATTGATAGTAATAAGCTGACTATAATGTGTTAAAATGGCCTCTCTTTCTCATGAGTCATAAAACTTAATTTAAATGACTTCAAAGACAGATGGCATGCAAACTTTATTTGAATACAAAAGCCTATTTAAAATGAATTAAATTTTTTAAAATGACAGTAGTTCTGAGGATTTTTAAGTTGGAAGCCTACTTCAGCCCTGAGTGTTCTGTCCTCTTTGTTTTATAGATTTTTCTCCACCATTTTCACTGGAGAGCTTAAGGATGTATGTTTCAAATGTGAGGTTATTTTGAGATTGGGGACCTGAGTATTCAAGGATCTGATGTGCAAATTGGAACCACCTTGTAATTTTAGTTTAGGAAGATAGAATTTTGTGAACCAAATATAAAAGAAAAAAAGATTTGACACTTACCTTCCCCAGGTCTGATTTGGTACTTTAATCCATGCTCCAACGTTTCAATCATTTCAACTTCAAAAATGACTCTCATACATAGTTGTAATCTTCACATGGGTGGTGAAATTTATAGATCTCCATAGAGAACCTCTTTCTTTTCTTTTTCACTTGAAAATCCTTTTTTTTGGTTAAATTTAACTGGCCAAAGAACTTCATGTGTTAAAAAAACCTTATATCATTGAATTACATATATTACAAATACTCACAATTACTTGTCAAAGTAAGTGGCTTAACTTTCCAGATTTTTTTTGTTTTATGTAACTGTTATTATAAAAATATGTGAATAAGCCAGAAATGATGACTCATGCCTATAATCCTAGTACTTTGGAAGGCCAAGATGGGTGGATCACTTGAGCTCAGGAATTCAAGACTAGCCTAGGCAACATGGCAAAATCCAATCTCAACAAAAAAGTACAAAAATTAGCCAAGTGTGGTAGTGTGTGCCTGTAGTCCCAGCTGCCTGGGAGGCTGAGGAGGGAGGATCTCTTGAGCTCAGAAGTTTGAGCCTACTATGAGCTATGATGACACCACTGCTTTCAATCTTGGGTGTCACAGCAACAGAACATAACACTGTCTCAAGAAACAAAATGCTGATAGATACATCACAGAAATGGCTGAATTTTACTCTTACTATCATCTTCTTGAGCCATAGGAGAAGGCTTGAGATAAGGAATGAGTAAAGAACCAAGAGCCAGCAAACACAAAAGCTAGCAGAGGACAAGAAATAACCAAGATCAGAGCAGAACTGAAGGAGATAGAGACACAAAAATCTCTTCAAAAAATCAATGAATCAAGGAGCTGGTCTTTTGAGAAAAAAAAATAGACTGCAAGGTAGACTAATGAAAAAAAGGAGAAGAATCAAATCAACAAAATAAAAAATGGTAAAGGGGATATCACCACTGACCCCACAGAAATACAAATAACCATCAGAGAATACTATAAACACCTCTATGCAAATAAACTACAAAATCTAGAAAAAAATGGGTGAATTCCTAGACACATAAACCCTCCCAAGACTAAACCAGGAAGAATTTGAATCCCCAAATAGACCAATAACAGGTTCTGAAACTGAGGCAGTAATAAAAAGCCTACCAAGCAAAAGAAGCGCGGGACCAGATGGATTTACAGTTGAATTCTCCCAGAGGTACAAAGAGGAGCTCGTACCATTTCTGCTGAAATGATTCCAAACAATTGAAAAGGACGGGCTTTTCCATAACTCATTTTGTGGGGTCAGCATCATCCTGATATCAAAATCTTCCAGAGATACAACAAAAAAAAAGACAACTTCAGGCCAATATCCCTGATGAACATTGATGCAAAAATCCTCAATAAATTACTGACAAACCAAAGCCAGCTGCTCATCAAAAAGCTTATCCACCATGATCAAGCAGGCTTCATCCCAGGGAGGCAAGGTGCATTAAGCATACAGAAATCAATAAACATAATTCATCTCATAAAAAGAACTAAAGACAAAAGCCATGATTATCTCAATAGACACAGAAAAAGCTTTCAATAAAATTTAGCATCCCTTTAAGTTAAAAACTCTCAAACTATGTATTAATGTAACATCTCAAAATAATAAGAGCCATTTATGATGATGCACAGCCAACATTATACTGAATGGGCAAAATCTGAAAGCATTCTCCTTGAAAACTGGCACAAAACAAGCATGCCCTCTTTCACCACTCCTATTCAACATAGTATTGGGAGTTCTGGCCAGGGCAATCAAGCAAGAGAAGGGAATAAGGGGTATTTGAATAAGAAGAAAGGAAGTCAAACTGTCTCTGTTTGTAGGCAACCTGATTGCATATTTAGAAAACCCCATTGTCTCAGCTCAAAGGCTTCTTAAGCTGATAAACAACTTCAGCAATGTCTCAAGATACAAAATCAGTGACCAAAAATCACAAGCATTCCTGTACATCACCAATAGACAAGCAGAGAAACAAATCATGAATGAACTCCCATTCACAATTGCTACAGAAACAGTAAAATATCTGGGAATACAGCTAACAAGGGAAGTGAAGGGTCTCTTCAAGAAGAACTACAAACTGTTGCTCAAAGAAACAAGAAAGGATACAAAAAATTAAAGCATTCCTTGCTCATGGATAGGAAGAATCAATATCTGGAAAATGGTCGTACTACCCCAAAGCAATTTATAGATCAAATGCTATTCCCATTAAACTGCCGTTGACATTATTTACAGAATTAGAAGAAACTATTTTAAAATGCATATGGAACCAGAAAATAACCTGTATAACTAAGACAATCCGAAACAAAAGAAATAAAACTGGAAGCATCACGTTACCTGACTTTATACTATGAAGCTTTAGTAGCCAAAAGAGCAGGCACAGCCTACCAACCAAAAGAAGCCCAGGACACATAGACAAATGGAGAGGGATAGAGAACAGGTACAAAAATAGACACTTAGACAAATGGAACAGTATGGAGATCTCAGAAATAAGACCACACATCTATAACCATCTGATCTTCAACAAACCTGACAAAAAGAAGCAATGGGGAAAAGATTCCCTATTTAATAAATTGTGCTGGGAAAACTGGCTAGCCATATGCATAAAATTGAAAATGGATGCCTCCCTTACACATTGTACAAAAATTAACTCAAGATGGATTAAAGACTTAAATGAGCCAGGCACAGTGGCTCATGCCTGTAATCTCAGAACTTTGGGAGCCAGAGGTGGGTGGATCATCTGAGGTCAGGAGTTTGAGGCAAGCCTGGCCAACATGGTGAAATCCCATCCTACTAAACGTACAAAAATTGGCTGGGTGTGGTGGCATACACCTGTAGTCCTAGCTGCTTGGGGAGGCTGAGGCAGGAGAAGCACTTACACCCGGGAGATAGAGGTTGCAGTGAGCTGAAATCGTACCACTGCACTCCTGCCTGGGTGACGGAGGGAGACTCCGTCTCGAAAAGTGAGTGGGGTGTGGGGGTGGCAAAATGTATTTAACCTTTAAAATTGAAAGAACTTAAAAAAAAAAGACTTAAATGTAAAACCCAAAACTATAAAAGACCTAGAAGAAAATCTAAGCAATGCCATTCAGGATATTGGCATGGGTAAAGATCTCATGACAAAAACATAAAAAGCAATTGCAACAATAGCAAACATTGACAAATGGGATCTAATTAAAGAGCTTCTACACAGCAAAAAAAGAAAAAAAGAAAGAAAAAAGAAAAAAACTATCATCAGAGTGAACAGAAAACCTAAAGAATACTTTTGCAATCTATCCATCTGGCAATGGTCTAATATCCAGAATCTAGAAGAACTTAAACAAATTTACAGGAAATAAAACATTAAAAAGTGGGCAAAGGACATGAACAGACATTTGTCAAAAGAAGTCATTTATGAGGCCAATAAACATATGAAAAAAAGTTAAACATCACTGATGATTAGAGAAATACAAATCAAAACCACAATGATATACCATCTTACAGCAATCAGAGTGGTGATTATTAAAATGTCAAAAAACAACAGATGCTGGCCAGGCTGTGGAGAAAGAGGAACACTTTTACACTTTTGGTGGGAATGTAAATTAGTTCAACCAATGTGGAAGACAGTGTGGAGATTCCTCAAAGACCTAGAACCAGAAATACCATTTGACCCAGCAATCCCATTACTGGATATATACCCAAAGAAAGATACATCATTCTGCTATAAAGATACATGCATGTGTATGTTCATTGCAGCACTATTCACAACAGTGAAGGCATGGAACCACCCCAAATGCCAATCAATGATAGACTGGATTAAAAAAAAAATGTGGCACATTACACTATGGAATACTATGTAGCCATAAAAAGGAACAAGATTATGTCCTTTGCAGAGACATGGAGCTGGAAGCCATTATCTAACTAATGCAGGAAGAGAAAACCAAACACTGCATGTTCTCACTTATAAGCGGGTGCTGAACAATGAGAACACATGGACACAGGGAGGGGAACCATATACACTGGGGCCTGTCAGAAGGCTCTGGGAAGAGAGAGCATCACAATAAATGCTAATCCATGTGGGGCTCAATACCTAGGTGATGGGCCGATAGGTGCAGCAAATCACCGTAACAAACCTTCACACCCTGCACATGTATCCCAGAACTTAAAAGAAATTTAAATAACAAGAGAAATGAGAAATGGTTTTATTTCTGATAAACTAGAATGACCCAATTTATGATAAATAACAAAATATCACCAAGACACTTCTTATTAAATGCAGTCTCCTTTTTATGACATTAATATTGCATTTTCTACATTTGTGAAGTTATATGACTCCTTGTTAAAGAAAATTTGCATTTCATAGAATTTTTAATAAACTACAATACTAGAACTTATCTAATCTCTTTTTAATACTGACCTTGAATAGTGTTAATTTCTACTATATGATTTGTGTTCTGTATTTATACAGGGATTTAATTCAAGAGACAAAAGAGGTAAAAAAAAATAGTGGTACTGAAAAATGCATCAGCTTCTGCTAAAAAACAATATTAAAAAGTAACTTTACATTTATATAAGTGGATCCACTCCCTATTCCTGGAAACCATTTTGTGCCTCTTTGCCTTTCCTCAGGAAAATCCTGCCAACAAAAATTTGCTCTTATCTTTTCAGAACTGTATTAAGTTTTATCTTCTCTGAAAATAATTTGGGAGTATTTTGGGAAACAAGTGAATTCTCCAGTTTGGCTGAAGTACAGCGTTGGTTTGTATATGAGGTGGTCCAAGTTACCATAAATCCTTAATTTGGAAAACAGTGACTTAATCATTGAAGGTCTTTGAAGAGAGAAGCAATTAGCAATACTTTTTCAAATAATAAACTGATGTTAGTTTGTAAAATATATGTAAATTAAGAGCTGAGAAGGTAGCAGGTCAGTAAAGCAAGTCAGTCAATATTTATTAGAAAACTTATTTATTTATTTTAAACTTGATGAGGATGGTCATAAGAATGGAAATATGAAAAAAGAAATTCAAGAAATGACATCTGGGCAGAGTGTGGTTACTCACGCCTGTAATCCCAGCTCTTTGGGAGGCGGAAGTGGGCAGATCACTTGAGGTCAGGAGTTTGAGACAAGCCTGGCCAACATAGTGAATCCCTGTCTCTACTACTAATACAAATATTAGCCAGGCATGGTGGCACAGGTCTGTAGTCCCAGCTACTTGGGAGGCTTAATTGCTTGAACCTGGGAGGCAGAGATTACAGTGACAGAGATCATGCCATTCATTACACTCCATCCTTAGTGACAGAGTGTGATTCTGTGTCAAAAAACAAAACAGAATGAACAAACAGGGAGAAATGACATGTGTTTGGATGGGTCATGATAGTTGGGAAAAAGCTGGATTTCAGAGCCATGTCACATATGGCTTTATCATCACTGGGATGTAGCATGGTGCTTTACACATAGTAAATGCTTAATTAGTATTTATGGAGTATACAGATGTTTTTATTCTTAAATTATGCTATTTTATTGCCTCGGTATTCTGTCTCCAGCAAGATCTTTCTGCTATTGTCTCCACATTGTTTTTTTTATTTGTTTGTTTGTGTCAAAATACCCCACTCATTAATTTGAGTTAGAGTTTTTCCCTGCCACCTCTCTAAGACATCTGGCTTTTAAACTTTCAAGAAACTTCTAAAAATAATGTCACATAGGATTTTTTTGTCTTGTTTTATTAGAAGAGATATGAGTCTTCCCTCCATAATTACCACCATCACCTGCCTTTTGAATCATCTCTTTCATCATAACCACAATATTCCTTTTTCTCACTTTGTAGTCCATGCCGGAATGCAGGACAGGGTTGGTTTTTTATGAGGTTGTCCAAGGTACCATAAATCCTTAATGTATGGTAACTTGGTGGTGTGGCAGTGGTGTGATCACAACTTACTGCAGCCTCAAACTCCTGGGCTCAAGTGATCCTCCCACCGCAGCCTCCCAAGTAGCTAGGACTACAGATGTATGCCACCACACCCAGCTAATTAAAAAAAAAATTATAGAGATAGGGTCTTGATATGTTGCTCAGGCTGGTCTCAAACTCCTGGCTTCATGGAATCCTTCTGCCTTGGCCTCCCAAAATTCTGGGATTACAGGTGTGAGCCACCATACCCAGCCCAAAATGGATGCTAATTTCTATACATGCAAGTATTTGTTTACACTAATGTCCCTTTGAGATTCCAAACTTATGGAAGAAATTAGCTGACACTAATGTGAACAAGTTCTAATCACAAGACAGAAAAAACGTATTCTGACCTACGTTAAGACTAGAAAATGTTTCATAAGAATTTCAATGATATTTACAATGATACATTCTGATGAAAGAATGAAATAAATAAATAAGTGTCTGTCTTATTGGGTGAACAGATCCAAGATTTGACTACTCTACATAGGCAATATCTATTTTAACCCGCATTTTTAGAATATGTTCAGTTTTAATGCTAAATAATGATTTACTTACAAAGAACTCTGCATCAAGCAAATTTATTAGGTAGAACAAAAGTTAAATGTCTTCTGCCTACCTCTAAATGGTCTCCTGT